AGGTTGCTCAGGCCTCACTGCAACAACTTCTGAAAAGCTGTCTTCCAAGCCATGAGATGGAGGGTCCTGAAATGCAGGTTGCTCAGGCCTCACTGCAACAACTTCTGAAAAGCTGTCTTCCAAGCCATGAGATGGAGGGTCCTGGAATGTAGGTTGCTCCGGCCTCACAGCAACAACTTCTGAAAAGCTGCCTTCCACACAAGGTGCCACCTCCTTTGCCACCAGATCTTCCAGCCCCAAAGACTCAGTTAGAGAACTGCTGTTTTTCTCTGCTATGGGCTCTAAGGGAGCCTCAGGCATCAGGTCTTGCTGCTGCCCTGGCGGAAAGGGTAAAAGAACCATGGTTTTAAGCATACTTTCATCCGTTGGCTCTACCACAACGTCATCCGGTGTTGCTGCTGCTTTCTCAGATGCACTGAGAGGAGAGTAGCCTTCAGGAGCTAGATCAGATTCATACTGACAAGCTTCCATGTACTCTGAAGGGTGGCTGAACTGTTCTGAAAGGAAGTTGTTCTCAGTCTTGATAAAATCCACAGGAGATGAGTTCTCAGTATTGAAAAAGTCCACCGGAGATGAGTTGTTGCTCCTTTCCTGCCAAAAGAAACAAAAATAATAGACCAAGGCAGTCAGTTCAGTCCTCGACGTGTAACTGTGGGTACACCATAATATCCAAACTCAGAAAAAGCAAAGAGGGAGCTGGAGAGATGGCTCGGAGGTTAAGAGCGCTGGCTGCCCTTCCAGAGGTCCTGAGTTCAATTCCCAACAACCACATGGTGGCTCACAATCATCTGTAATGAGAACTGGTGCCCTCTTCTGGCCTGCAGGGATACATGCAGGCAGAATACTATATATAATAAACAAAACCAAAAAAAAAAAAGAAAAAGAAAAAGCAAAGAGTCCTCACTATCTCTTCTGAGGCAAGAAGCTAGCCAATCCTGGCTGGTTACTACACAGACCCACCAGCAGGGAAAGAAAACTAGGAAGCCACTTTGGACCCTAATGCATCCCACACGAAAATGGGGATCCAGCCATTGTTCCTGTCAATGGGAGACTTTAGCTCAACTACGACCTTTCCATGTCTTTTTCTAATTCTAAGCTACATCTAAATAAAAGCTACGGCAGGAGGGACTGCATAGGGGATCTGTTCCAGCGCTGTCAGAGTCTAGAGTCACTACAGACAGAAGAGAGAAAGCTAATGACAGAGGGTTGGAGGTATTTACTTCAGCAGCAGAGTGTTTGCTTAGCAAGCACAAGGACATAGGTTCAATACCAAATACCACGAAATCAAAGAACAAAATCATGATCCAAAGGGGGGTAAAAAAAAAAAAAGGGCAAACTTCCATATTTCAAAAGAATGGTAAGCTTGCTTCATCGTTCTCATTAACAGCAAGACAAAAGGATAGCAATTCTTCAGGACAATTTCTCCAGGCAAGTAAGTTCTCCAAAATGTCTTTAAAGAACCCTAGGGGGCTGGGCGGTGGTGATACACGCCTTTAATCCCAGCACTTGGGAGGCAGAGGCAGGTGGATCTCAGGAAGTTCGAGGCTAGCCTGGTCTATGAAGTGAGTTCCAGGACAGCCAGGACTATAACATATAGAAACTGTCTCAGAAAATCAAAATAAGTAAATAAATAAGAATAAGAATAATAGAAAAGGCTTTTGGCTAAAGTACATCTCGGTAAAGGCAATTCTGCAAGGTAATACTTTCAAGTATTGGATCCAGGAAAATTCTGACTGATTCTCACTCATATCAAACAGACCTCTCCATAAATGAGCCAGTGTAACTGGCTATTTATTATAATAGTAACTGTAACTATTTCTCGGGAATCTGGTAAAGGTCAAACGGGAAAAGAGGTAATAAAAACAGCTAAATAGAGGTGCAGGTTCTCGGTGGATTCGTTTTAACCACCCCGGGGCACCTCTCTGTTGGCCTGAATAGCTGTAAATGGATGTCAAGGAAGTAGAAGGTTTCATTATCGTTATTAATTACGTTCCAGCCCTGGCCCTCTGTTCCTCTGAGCACCCGGCCTGGGCAAACAGCCCAGTTGAGAAGCTGCCTAGGCGAATCTCACCTTCAGCTCCAGCTTGCGCAGGTATGGGGTCAACGTGGAGAACATGGGCGGCCCTTTCCCCGAATCCGTGAGGGCCCCGGGCTGCAGTCTAAGCTCTCGGAGAGGAGTTCTCATAGCTGTTTTTTCCTGAGAGAGAAAGCGAGAGTTGAGGAAACCCGGCTCAGCCAAGCGCGCCCCTTCTCCCTCCGGGAAGTGTCTTCCCGCAACCGCCAGGCCGCGGAGCCAACAAAAGCCTCCCGCTGCCCTGCTGGGACCCGGACTTCACCGGCCTCGGCACCGCCGACGCCTCGCCCTGGCAGTGCCCTGTCCGCGGGAGTTCTCTCCTCTCCGGTTGGGGCGACGGCGACAAGCCGAGATTCAGTGTTTTAACCCTCCACATCCTCAGTTTGGTCACTTTTCTGATCAAGTCCACTTGGCCACATTCACCCGCCGACTCTATTTGAACCCGATACGCGCTTTCGGATTGGCTGCGGGGCCGCAGTACGTCTGGTGGGCGGGACCTGCGTTCGCCACGCCCCCACTGGCCTCTGCGCGCTCCGCCCAACGCCTCTACTTGGGCTCCAGGCAGCGCGGGTGTGCATCCTCCGCATCCTCGGGTCAGGGACACGGTGGGCAGGTGGGAAGTCAAGGAACCCTGTTTCAGTGGCTCCTTTCCCTCAGTTACCGAGTGAGCCGCACTTGACTCGGGGTTGGGCTGTCGTGGTGTAGGTGCCAGATTCTTAACGGCCTGAGAGAATCCCTAAGTGCCTTCAGGTAAATGCCTCTTAAGAATTTGTGGGCCTTTCTTGTGTCTTAACCTTAGAGCCTGCAACAAGACTACTAGAATAACAGCTGACATGTACTGTACTGTACGTTTATGATGACCCTGGCACTGTTTCAAGTGCTTGCTGTATTATTAACTCACTCATTTTATACATAAGGAATTGAATCGAAGAGAATATAATCTGCACAGTATCCCATGAAGACAGGCTTCTGTCAACTGAATTTCTTCTATAGGGGAAATCTATCCACTGTGTGTGTATGTGTGTCTGTCCTTAAAACAGGGTGCAGCCTTGACTGGTGAGGAGCTCATTTTGTAGATCAGGTTGGCCTTGAACACAGAGATGTGCCTGCCTCTGCTTCCTGAGTGCTGGGATTAAAAGTAGGTGCCATCACATGCGACCGAATTTTTTTTCTTTCTTTCTCTTTCTTTCTCTCTCTTTCTTTCTCCCCCTCTCCCTCTCTCCCTCCCTCCCTCTTCCTTCCTTCCTTCCTTCCTTCCTTCCTCCCTCCCTCCCTTCTCTCTCTCTCTCTCTCTCTCTCTTTCTTTCATTACCAGCTGAAGGTTTTGGTTATTTGAGACAGGGCCTCAATACATAGCGTAAACTGGCCTCAAAGGGGTGATCCTCCTGCTTCTGCCTCCAAAGCAAATTTTTTGTTTCTCTTGTGTCAGGGTCTTGTATGTGCTTAGGCTGACCCTGAACTCCCCGTCATCCTGTCTCAACCTTCCAATTGGTGGAGCCACAAAGCCTGGAAGGTGAGTATTCAGGTTAATCATTGATGGTGCCATGTTGAAGCGGTTTTGCCAGCCTCCTATCTAGTCCCCAGTCCGCTCTCAGCCTCTTGAGTGCTGAGATTCCAGGCAAGTCTGGAAGTCTTATTAATGAACGGAGAGAAGGAAACAAACCAAAGAGGAGCTTTTGGTTTGGTTTGGTTTTGGTTTGGTTTCTCTGTGTAACAGCCTTGGCTGTCCTGAAACCAGACTGGCCTTGAACTCACAGAGATCCACCTGCCTCTGCCTCCTAAGTGCTAGGACCAAAGGCATGCGCCACCACTGCCCAGCTCCAAAGAGGAGCTGTAATGTTAGAAACTGCAGATGTCTCAGGAAATACTCTCCATAGGAACTGTATTTCTCAGTACATTCCTACTGGCTACATGCTTTGAATTCTTCACATGGGAATGTGATACAGGTGTAAAATGCACACAACATATCAGACCTCACATGGGAAAAAATAATATTAATTACACATTGAAATAGTTTTAAGATATTCTAAATTAAATAAAATATATTAAAATTTCATGTTTTAAAGCCTTTTGAACAGGGTGACAATTTTAAAATTATTTAAGTAGAATGTAGTTGCAAGGTTTCTCCGGTCCCGCCCGGCCCACAGCTGCTCAGACTGAAGTAAATACACAGAGGTTTATATTATTTACAAACTGTATGGCCTATGGGTCAGGCTTCTTGCTAGCTAGCTCTTATAACTTAACCCATTTCTATTCATCTATAAGTTGCCACGTGGCTGTGGCTTACTGATACTTTCACATCTTGCTTCTCCTGAAGTGGTGCTGGTGTCTCCCTGTCCTCTCCTTTCTTCTCTCCATATATCTGCTTAGATTTCCCGTCTGCCTCTCAGCTGCCTTGCCGTGGGCCAATGCAGCTTAATTTATCAACCAATCAGAGCAACACATATTCACAGCCTGCAGAGAGACGTCCCACAGCAAGAGAAGAATGGAGAGATGACTCAGTCAGTAAAGAGCTTGTCGTGAAAGCAGGAGGACCCGAGTTTGGATCTCCAGAACGCACGCCTTTAATCCCAGCACTCGGGAGGCAGAGGCAGGTGGATCTCTGTGAGTTCGAGGCCAGCCTGGGCTACCAAGTGAGTTCCAGGACATCCAAGGCTACACAGAGAAACCCTGTCTCAAAAAAAACACAAAAAAACAGAAACAGCAGTTTATGTCTGTAATCCTGACGTGAGGGTTGGGGCAGAGGAGGACTCCCTGGAGTTTCCTGGCCAACCAGTCTAACCGATCAGTGAGTTCTGGGTTTGGTGACAGAAAATGTCTCCAAAAATAAGGTAGAGAGTACCTGGAGGAAATACCTGATGTTGACCTCTGGCTCCACACGCCTGCACATATGTGAACAAGTGTTTAGGCACACAGACAAACATGTCCGTAGGTACAAATTATTTAAGTAATTTGTATTGTATTTCTTTTATTTTTTTTTTTTTTTTGAGACAGAGTCTCTCTGTGCTTGGGGCTTTCTTGGAACTCAATATGCAGATCAGACTGGACCCAAACTCTGCCTCCTGAGTATTGGGATTAAAGGCATACGTGTCACCAAGCATAGCCTTCTTTTTGTTGTTTTAAGCTAAGGCTCTGGTGATGTAAATTGGATTCTTCTTCCACTCTTCTCCTGCCCCTTAGTCAGTGCATTATACTCCTATTGAAGTCTGTGACTCTAGAAACAGAACAGTACCAGTCTGAAGGCATTAAAATAACTGAATAAAAATAGGGGGGGGGGGTGGAAATATAGGTGGGTGGTGCTGAGTATGGAGCTCAGTGCCTAGAACATGCTGTCTTACTCAGGGTTTCTATTGTGTGAAGGGACACCATGACCATGGCAACTCTTATAAAGGAAAACATTTGACTGGGGCTGGCTTACAGCTCAGAGATTTAGTCCATCGTTGTCATGGTGGGAAGCATGGTGGCACACAGGCAGACATGGTGCTGGAGAGGCAGCTGAGAATTCTACATCTGGATCAGCAGGCAGCAAGAAGAGAAAGAGACACTGGGCCTGGCTTGAGCATCTGAAACCTCCAAGCCCACCCCTAGTGACACACTTCCTCCAACAAGGCCACACCCCCTAATAGTATCACTCTCTCTGAGCCTACAGGGGCCATTTTCATTCAGACCATAACACAAGCTATGTTTGTGCTCTACCAAGGATCTGCTCTTCCATTCTCAATAGAATGATTTCCCTGCTTTTGAAGCAGGATCTTTCTTTAACCTAGGCTGGCCTCACTTTTTCAGCAATCCTTCTGCGTCAGACTCTGGAGTCCTGAGAATGCTCTTGAGCCTGGAATTGACCAAGGTACAGCAAAGGGTCTTTCTCGCTCTCTCTTTCTCTTAACAGGGTGTTTCTGTGTAGCCCTGGCTGTCCTGGAACTTGCTTTGTAGATCAAGCTGTCCCTGAACTCAGAGCTCCACCTGCCTCTGGCCCAGCACTCCCACTCCAAATGTCTTTGTCCCAACTACATGCCTGGTTTCCCTGGAGGTTAGAAGAGGGTGCTGGAGCTGGAGTTAGAAGAGGTTGTCAGCTGCCTGATGTGGGTGCTGGGAACCAAACTCACATCCTTTGGAAGAGTAGCAAGCACTGAGCCATAGAGATACATTTTTTATTTAGTCAAGATTATTTTCTCTTATACCATTTGGATTCCCATATTTTTTTAGTTTGAGACAGGCCCTTATGTAAACAAATTGGCCTTAAACTCACTATGAGCCCAGGCTGGCCTTGACCTCCCACCCCTGAATGCTGGAATTACAGGTATGTGCCACAACACCTGGCCTTTTTAGGTTTCTCCTCCTCTTCCTCTTTCTTTTCTTTTGGTTTTGAAAGTGGGTCTCTATTATTCTGGCTGTCCTGGATCTCACTCTGTAGACCAGGCTGGCCTCCTACTCACAGAGATGCACCTGCTTCTGTCCCCTGAGCACTGTGATTAAAGGCGTGCGCCACCATGCCATACTTGAGAGTTTTGTACTGGAATGCACTAGGCAGCATAGAATGGCCTCATCATCCCCAGTTATCCTTCTGCCTTTATTTCCCAAGTGCTGGAATCACATATGTGAGACATCACACCTAGTTCTCATTGTCTAAGAGATAATTCAGACAATACATGTTTATCTCTAAGCTATCTAATATGGCTTACAAAAGGGACCCAGTGACATGTTCACCATTTCCTCAGGACTAATCCATTATGCTACTGTGACCAGATGAATTGAGAGTAACACTGTGCTAGGTACACAATATCATGTAATCTACTACCCTTGTCCTTATTTTGTTTTTACATTTTGTGTGTGTGGTAGGGTTTCACAGTCAGTTCAAGTTGAAGCTGATCTCAAACTATGTAGCCAAGGATGACCTTGAATTTCAGACACCCCCCACCACTACCTCCACCTCCCAAATGTTGGGATTACAGGATTTTTACAGCACACTTGGATCAAACCCAGGGTTTCATAAATGCTAGACAAGGACTTTATCAACTGAACTATATACCCAGGCACCTGTATATGTATAGATATTATATATATATATATATATATATATATATATATATATATATATATATATATATATATATATATATATATATATATATATATATATATCACTAATAATTTATTTTTCATTTATTGTGTGTGTGTGTATGTGTCACTAATAACTTATTTTTAATTTAGTGTGTGTGTGTGTGTGTGTGTGTGTGTGTGTGTGTGTGTATACATGTACATACATGCATGTGTGGAAGTAAGAGGACAACGTGCAGGGCCTGATTCTCTCCTTCACCATGTGTCAGGTTCAAAGGAAACTCCACTCCCCCAAATTCTGGCAGTTAGACAAAAGCCAGCATTCCTCAGGAACCTGTGAAGCCAGTTCCCCTCTACCGAAAGGAGCCTTTTTCCTTATCTCTGGTAGAAGGGACAAATGGTATCTGATGCCTTATTAGCATACCGAGCACATGCTGGCCTCCAGGCGCCCTCAGTGTCACATATTTCAGAGTCTCTGCTGGCATCCTGACCCTTCTCAGCTTGTATCACCTCCACCCTGAACTTTTCCAGTTCATGGACTTCCAGCTACTCATTTGCTTTATAACCTGCTATTTCAGCTATGCTCACTCTTTATTCTCTCTCTCTCTCTCTCTCTCTCTCTCTCTCTCTCTCTCTCTCTCTCTCTCTCTCTCGTCTTCCTCCATCCTCCCTCCCTCCCTCTCTGCTTCTCTCCTGGCCAGGTCCAGTCTGCTGGCCATATTCATTTCTACTACTTTCTTTTTCTGCTCTGGACTCTTCCAGATGCCTCTGGTGTATCTCTCATATCTGCAATAAAAAAATCTTCCCTTTTTTCCGGGCGGTGGTGGTGCACACCTTGAATCCCAGTGCTCAGGAGGCAGAGGCAGGTGGACCTTTGAGTTTGAGGCCAGCCTGGTCTACAAAGCAAGTTCCAGGGCAGCCAGAGCTACACAGAGAAGCCCAGACAAAACAAAACCTTCCTTGGAGTGGTCCTGTCACCAGTTTATACAGGTTCCAGGGACCAAACTCAGATCATCAGGTGGGGCCACCAAGAGCCTTTACTTATGCTAATTTAGTCTGTCTGGCCTTTGTTGAGTTTTTCTGAAACAGCCTTGCCCACCGTAGCTCAGGCTAGCCTTAAACCATGATCCTTCTGCCTGCTGCCCTGCCTGGGTGCCAGGATTCAGGTGTGAATCATCATGCCCAGTGAGTTTGTTTGTTTGATTTTTCAAGACAGAGTTCCTCTGTGTAGCTCTGGCTGTCCTGGTACTCACTATGTGTACCAGGCTGGTGTCAAACTCAGAGATCCACCCACTTCTGTCTCCTAAATGCTGGGATTAAAGGTATTAAGGGTGTGCACCACCACCTCCTGGCTTCATTACGCCCAGTTTACCTCTGCCTTTGGAAAAAAAAACAAAACAAAACATCACAAAGGGCGGAGGATGTTACTCAGTTGGTAGAATGTTTGCCTAGCATGCATGAAGCCCTGGGTTTTATCAGCATCAAATAAACTGGGCTTAGCCTGGCGGTGGTGGTATTTTTTAATAATTTTTTTATTTTTATTTTATGTGCATTAGTGTTTTGCCTGTATGTGTGACTGTGTGAGGGTGTCAGATCTTGGAGTTGCAGACAGTTGTGAGCTGCCATGTGGGTGCTGGGAACTGAACCCCAGTCCTCTGGAAGAGTAGCCAGTATCTTTAACCTCTGAGCTATCTCTTCAGCCCCCACAAATAAATACTTTTTTTTTTTTTTTTGGTTTTTCGAAACAGGGTTTCTCTGTGTAGCTTTGCGCCTTTCCTGGAACTCACTTGGTAGCCCAGGCTGGCCTCACCGAGATCTGCCTGGCTCTGCCTCCCGAGTGCTGGGATTAAAGGCGTGCGCCACCACCGCCAGCCAATTTACATGTCTTACTGAAGGAGAGCATCACATGCCTCAGTGGCTCCAGTCTTCTTATGCATCCTGTGCAATACACAAGAGCCCCAGGTGTCTTGTGACCAAAGTCACGGACTGGCTGCAAATCCTCTTCAGCAAAACAATTCTACAGACCATGGGAAACAATCACTGTTTTCCACAAGGAGTCTTCAAGGTCAAAGTACTTCTGAAAAACAGTTGTTCATTCTAATATCTACCCCAGACACAGTGATTCTGCTAAATTCCTATAACACCCCAGTAACACCCTTAGCACTTTATTTATTTATTTTATATGTATGAGTGTCTTATCTGAATATGTGGATGTGCATTTGTGTGTCTGGTGCCAACAGAGGTCAGAAGAAAGCATCAGATCCCCTGGAACTGGAGTTATGTATGGTTGTGAACCACCATATGAGTGCTGGGACCAAACCCAGGTCCTCTGCGAGAGCAAGTGCTCCTAACCACTGAGCCATCTTTCCAGCCCCATAGCATACAATCAGAGCACCAATCAAATACATAGAGATTCAGATGGATTGCCAAAGCACAAACCAGAAAAAAAAAAAATTCTACCGAGGCAAATAAAATAGAAATCCTGGCCTAATCCAGAGAGAATACTAAGAGTATATATGATACTCTTCAGATTTTTTTTGGCCTGAAGAGAGATCAGACAAATCAGACAAACTGAAAAATAATAGTCTAGATTAAAGCACATTTTTACCTAAACATAATAACACAGGGGCTGGAAAGTACACATACATACATGCAGGAAAATACTCATACACATAAAAATCTAAAGCCTAAATTTAAAAAATCAGAACAAGCCAGGCAGTGGTGGCACATACCTTTAATCCCAGTACTCAGGAGGCCAAGGCAGGTGGATCTCTGAGAGTTTGAGGCCAGCCTGGTCTACAGAGTGATTTCCAGGACAGCCAAGGCTACAAAGAGAAACCTTGTCTCCAAAAAAAAAAAAAAAAAACCACAAACAAACAAAAAAACAGAACAAAAATGGAACTTTATAAGTTGAAGAAAATGAAGTCAAAGGCCAGAAATGTTCATAAAAGGTTTAGATGATTTTCCTTATAACAGGAAAATGTTCTTGAGATACATATGTAACTTTAAATCCTAAAATTAATGCCGTAGCTCTCAATGCTTTCATTTGTTCATCAAAACCCAATCTTAGCATAGGTCTAGTAGTGCAGGTCTATAATCTCAGCCATTTGGAAGATTAGGGCAGGAAGATCACAAGTTCAAGGCGCTAGTTTTGGCAACTTGAAGAGACCTTGTCTAGGAGAGGAGGAAACCTGAATGAATGAACACTGGGGATGTAACTTCATAGATACTCGCCTAGCATACATAAATCCCTAGGTTTGATCCCTAGGACCACAAAACAGCAACAAATCCCCGAATCTTAAAACTAAAAGTGTTGGGAGCCAAGCCGACCCAAGGCTTCCTTGAGGCCTGATGTGTGGAAGAGGGACGTAGTTCAAAACCAGGAAAATGCGCCGGGCGGTGGTGGCGCACGCCTTTAATCCCAGCACTCGGGAGGCAGAGGCAGGCGGATCTCTGTGAGTTCGAGGCCAGCCTGGTCTCCAA